TAGGTGAGGCTACCTATTTGTACCCCCACTCCACCCCCCAAAAAAATTGCTAACTTCAGTTTTTAAAAACAGACATCTTGTAGAAAAAAATATGTAAAGAACAAAACTTGAAACTGCTAAATTTCTTCTGAAATGCAAAAAATAAGTAATACAACCATCTTGGATTATCTTTCTCAATTACAAAAGAAAATATTTTACCTCAGAAAAGGTTTTGAATAATCTTGTGAACTGTGATGCTAAAATTTAAGTATCTTAAAAGTTTCGATTTCAGGCACATCAAAATGTCACTCTGCATGCCTTTACCTTTGCAAATTTTGTTACCAATTCCTTCAGGTCAAATGTCTGATGCTTGGGTGTGTTCAGTTGATATAGTTGCCAAGACAACTAATTCCTTTTGCAAAATTGTTTTGAGTGTATGCAAGTTTTTATAAGTCTGAGCTTTGAGAAACTGCATTCACCACTTGCCATTGACACTGGAAATATGCAAAGGACCCTTGGGCAACTGAAACATTAGGCACATTTCCCAGGAGTTTTGGTTGCAGTATGGAGTGACTGCACAACTTGGTTGCAGTATGGAGAGACTGCACAACTATACAACTTTTCAGTTGTACCATGGAATGCCAAGTTTTGCATGCCAAGAATTCTGAACAAAGCAAGCAAGCATTCCAAGATTTGTAGCCGATATTGTTCTTCTTGCCTAATTTTCTGCTAGTTAATGTCACCAATTGGTTTTCCTCCCTCTTTAGATAAGAGCAATTCAAGTTGCGTTCTGTGGAAGCACACTGTCAGAGCTGGCTCCAGGTCCCAGCTCACAGAGGACCAACGCTAGCCGGCAGTAATGTACAAAAGTCTTTATTGAAGTACAGTTTCCATTTTCAAGCCGGAGCGCCCCAGCTCTACGTCTAGGGGTTAGATCGGCGAAGCTCCCTCCACCTCTTACGTCTCTCCTTTCTCCTCTGGGTCCTGCTACCCCCCGGGGTCCCTTCCTTCCTGGATTCTTCTGACGCTGACCCCCCCTGACTCCTCCCCCTCTTTCGGCGGGCTTTGGGACCTGGCTCCCTATCCGGGCTGCCAACTGCGCCGCCCTCCTGTACATTTGAACTTTGCGCGCGCGCCCAGCCTTCAACCTTCCTCTCGACCGTTTCCTCGCTCCCCGATGGAGGCGTGGCCAATCCTGACTCATGTCCTCCCACTGGCAGTGCGCCGCCTGATCCCGATGCCTGGGACTCCTCCCCCCCTACTGCACTCTGGTGTGGACGCTGGTCCTGATTTCCAACTGCTGCTCTCTGAGTCCCCTCTGGCCCCTTCTTCCTGGGGTGTCCCCTCGGCACCCCCTTGCTCTGACCAAGGGAGCCCCTTTCTGTGAATCTTCCGATTCGCTGGAAAGACTCAGAGACCTCGGACCGCTGTCATCGCTAACATTTCCTTCGGACTCCTCCCCCTCGCTCTCTATTTCCTCCCTTCCTGTGCCTCTGCTCCTGAACCCCTGACATCCATCCCCCCCTCGAAGCCCCCCCTTCCCCCCTCCCCTCCGTCAGGTGTGGGTACTGGGTGCTCCGTCGTTGTGGGGGTGAGTGCCGGATACAGTTCGTCCCCCGGGGCGTGCATCCAGCCGGATAAGTCCGGCTCGTCCTCCGTGCTCTCGCCGACCTCAAGTTCCTCTGCTTCCATCTCTTTGCCGCCGTGCTCGAACCCAAGGTCCTCCCCCAACACGTCCATGTCCGTCTCCCCCGGTCTCCTCCGGGGACGTTGCCTGCCAAGGACCCCCCAACCACTTCCTGCGCCACTGCTCCTCTGGTTGATTGTCCCACCAATAGGAACGGTCTGAGGCAGACCCCGAGGGTGATCCCTCCGGGGAACGTGTTTCTAGTGCCGGTTCCTCGTCCGAGGTGAACCCCTGGAATGTGCTAGCTGAAAATGTGGGTGTGAAAAGCCAGTCGTCGAAATACTCGGCTGGCATGGGCCTGTGTGGGAAAAGTGCATGGAACTCGTCCTTAAGCCAAGATTCCTCCAGAGCATAATCTGGCACCCAACTGTTGGCGCTAGCCGGGGTACCTTCCTTGGCGAGGAGGTATTCCACTCCCTCCTCCCCCCATCTCGAGTCTAAAATCTCTGTGACTTCGTTGACGGGTTCCCGCCTTGGCGACCCCCTTGTGGGCGTTTCCCTGAACGGGTCTGGTGCCGTTCCTGGCTCCTGAAATCTATGAGGTGCTTTGTAGGGCGTGAGCACTGATCTATGGAAAACTGGGTGCATTCTGGATCCCTCCGGCAGTGTCAACCGGAAGGCCACTGGATTGACCTGTGCCTCGACTTGGTAGGGTCCTAGCTGCTTATGCCCTAGCTTCTTCTTCGCTAACGATCTGGCCGGCACTGCCTGGGCTGCTAACCAAACCCAGTCTCCCACCTGTATGTCTTCCCCAACCCTTCTGTGCTTGTCAGCCTGCAGTTTGTATGCGTGCTTTGCTAGTTCTAACTGCCTCCGAAGCTGTTCGTGAACCTCCTGCAACTCTGATGCTAAGGCTTCCGCTGCCTGTGGCTCCCCTCCCCCGCTCTCGCTAATCCCGGGAAGGTTCTGGGATGCCTCCCGTTGTTGGCGAAGAACGGTGTCACCCCCGTGGACACGTGCTTCGTGTTGTTGTAGGCGAACTCAGCGAGCGGCAGGTAGTCCACCCATGTTGCCGGCTGCTGATTTGCGTAGCATCGCAGGTACTGCTGCATGATGGCGTTGACTCGCTCCGCTTGTCCGTTCGTCTGCGGGTGTCTCGCCGACGCTAGGTTGATCTTGACGTTCAGGAAACCCATCAGCTTCTGCCAGAAGTTCGAGATGAACTGTCGCCCCGGTCGGACAGGATAGACCGTGGCAGACCGTGAACCCTGAACACGTGGTCTATGAACAGTTTGGCGGTCTGTTCCGCCGTGGCCACCTTCGCGCACGGAATGAAGTGGGCCATTTTGGTGAACATGTCCACCACCACTAGCACTGCCGTCTTGCCCCTCGAGCTGGGTAGATCCGTGACAAAGTCCAGGGCCACCCTCTCCCACGGTTCGAGCGGTGTCTGCAGCGGTTCGAGCAGTCCCGCCGGCGGTTTGTGCACTGACTTGGCCCTTTGGCAGGTGTCGCACCTCGAGACGTAATCCGCGACTTCCCCGCGCATCTTGGGCCACCATAAATCTCTGGCTACTAATTCTACCGTCTTCTCTTTGCCAAAGTGCCCGGCGGTGGGTGCGTCGTGCAACTGCTGCAGTACTTTCGCGCGGAGGTCGTCTCCCGGTACGTAGAGGGCCCCTCTGCGGATGAGCAATCCGTCGCGTATCTGGAACTCGTCGTCCTCCGCCGTGCCCCTTTGCACCTCTGCCATCTTTGCTTGCGCGAAGGGGTCCTCCTGCAGTGCTCGACGTACAGCATCCAGGTCCACGGTTGCTGAAGCGCACGCCCACGCTTTCGGTGCGAAAATGTGCTTGGCCGCTGCTGGTGCCGCCTCCTCGAGGTATTGCGGCTTTCTGGACAGTGCATCCGCCATGATGTTGTTGTCGCCTGGGATGTACTCTATCCTGAAGTCGAAATCCGCAAAGAACTCCGCCCATCGTATGTGCCTCTGGTTCAGGAACCTTGCCGTGCGCCAGTACTCCAGGTTTTTATGGTCCGTGCGGACCTGCACTGTGTGTTTGGCTCCAATGAGGAAGTGCCGCCACGCCTTGAATGCTGCATGAATGGCCAGCAACTCCCTGTCCCAGATGGTGTAGTTCTGCTCTGACTTGCTGAGCTTCCTGGAGTAGAAGGCACACGGTCTCCAGTCCCCATGCGGGTCTTGCTGCAACAGTACTGCTCCCACGGCTCTGTCTGAGGCGTCCGTTTCAACCCTCATCGGTCTGCTGGGATTCACATGCAGTAGCTGCTCTTCGGACGAGAAGAGACGCTTGAGTTTCTGAAAGGACTGCTCCGCTTGCTCCGTCCAGATGAACTTCTTCTTCTTGGAGCTGAGCGTGTCGGTAATGGCCGCCGTCTGCATCGCGAACCCCTTGATGAACTTGCGGTAAAAGTTGGCGAAACCGACAAACCGCTGGACCTCCTTCCGATTGCGCGGGCTCTTCCAGTCCAACACTGAGCGAACCTTGGCGCTGTCCATGGCGAGCCCCTTGTCCGACAACTTGTAGCCCAGGAAATCTACCTCCTTCATGTCGAACTGGCACTTCTCCAGCTTGGCGTACAGCCTGTGCTCCTGCAGTCTCTGCAGAACTTCCTTGACGTCTCCCTCGTGGGTCTCCTCTGATTCTGAAAATATCAGGATGTCGTCCAGGAAGCAGACGCATTTCTTGTAGAGGAGACCCGCCAATACGTGATGCATGAAGGCTTGAAAACAGTGGGAGCCATTTTGTAATCCAAAGGGCATAACTCTGTATTCATAGGTGCCCAGGGGCGTGAACATGGCAGTCTTCCATTCGTCGCCCTCCCGTATGCGAATCAGGTTGTACGCCCTCGCAGATCCAACTTTGTGAAAACGCGTCCTTTCCTCACCGTTGCGAGCAGGTCATCTATCTTGGGCATGGGAAAGGCTGTGGGCTTGGTTTTCGAGTTCAAAATTCTATAGTCCACCACAAGCCTTTTTGGGGCGTGTCCTTCTTCTTCACAAAGAATACAGGACTGCCCCCACTGCCTTCGACTCCTGGATGAAACCGCGCTTCAAGTTGAGGTCTATGAACTCCCTGAGTTCCTGCAGCTCGTCTTCAGACATGGAATACAGTTTCCCGGTTGGCAGCGTCGCCCTGGCAGGAGGTCAATCTTGCAGTCATAAGACCTGTGGGGAGGTAGCTTGTCCGCTTCCTTCTCGCAGAAAACCTCCAAAAACGCTGCGTACTTGAGTGGCACTGCTTGCAGCGTGCCTAATTGTAGCTGCGGGTCATCCTCTTCCCCTTCCGGGCTAGGCAGAATGCAATGTTCCGCACAGTATGAGGAGCCGAAGGTCAGTTGTCGCTGGTACCACGCCAATGCTGGGCTGTGCCTGTGCAGCCAACTCATGCCTAATACTATAGGCGTGTCCGACAGTTGGGTGACATTGAAGCTGATGACTTCTCGGTGATTCCCAATTTGCATCACCATCGGAGGCGTTTGCTGCACCACCTGCCCCCCCAGCAAGTCCCTGCCATCCACCGTGACAACTTTCAGAGGCAGCGTGGCTGGCAGGAGTGCTATGTTGTGCTCTTGAAGGAAATCCAGTCCTATGAAGTCTGCGTTACTACCAGAGTCAATGGTAATCGGCACTTCCATAGTGAGTCCATTGGGTAGTTGGAGCGATGCTGTGAGCTGCACCACTGGTTTGGGCGGGAGGGGGTCTGTGGGCTGCAAAATCTCTGGGGACGGCTTCATTGACTTGTCTGGTTGGGCCCCAGTGCCTCTTCCTCCAACCAGACTCTGTCGTTTCCCTGCTGTGGTTCTCTCTGCTGAGTTGCTTCTGTTACTGTTGCTGAGGCTGCAGTGTGCTTGTGGAGCCTCTGGGGACACTCTTTCGCCATGTGCTGAGCACTGTCGCAGATGTAGCACTTCCTGTTCCCTCTAGGAGGCTTCGCTATGACTGCTCCCGGTGTTAAGGCTCTGGTTGCTGACTGAGCCCTGGCGCCTCCAATCTCCATCGGTTGCTCTCCCTCCTTGCGGAGGTGGGGATTGCACACGCGCTGCATCCTTGGGAAAGAGGGGAGGTGCTCTCACTGGCGTACGTCCCCAACGTCCTTCTTCTCTGTTCCATGGACGTTCTTCCAGACGCACCCCAATTTGCAGCGCCCGCCGGACAACCTCCTGAGTGCTCTTTGGTCTCTCCCCCCTTGCAATCTCATCTTTCACATTTGCATTCAAGCCTTCCCAAAAAGGTCTCTGGCTGGGGCAGAATCCTTCTCCCATCCCAGCGCATGGACTAATGCAAAAAGCGGGAATGGTACTGCCTTACACTGGCTCTGCCTTGTTTGAGCCCATGTATGTCTTTTCTGGCGATATCAATGTCTATATTTGATAAAATACACGAATCCATCGCTTTAATGAATGCATCCGCATTTTGGAGCGCCGGATCCTTATCTCTCCACAGAGTGCGCAGCCACGCTTTCGCTTCCCCATGCAAATGGGACAAGATAAACCCCACCTTCTCTTGCTCATCTCTAAAGTCTTTATCCAGCAGTTCCAGCGCAAACAGCACGTCTGCTCGGAAGTTAGGGTACTGCTGCAAATTCCCATCGAAATGAGATACCAGGCTGCCTCCTCTTTCCCCAGCCCAATCCCCTCTGATTTGGGTCCCGGTTGCCCCTGCTTAGCAAGCACTTCCAACCTGGCTGGAGATCCCTGCAGGCGGCAGCCGCTTCCTCTTCCCTTTTCCTGGATGCGAGTACCTCCGCGTTGAGTTGTGTCACTGCATTTTGCAGGGCTGCTAGTTGCTGTTCTGTAGTCATCTTGCCTGACTTTTGTGAGCTCGCGAAGCACCAATCTTCTCCCCTCGCTGCGTCCACTCACGTTACGAGGTTTTTGGTGCAAAACTTTTAGAGATGGAGCTTACTGTCAGAGCTGGCTCCAGGTCCCAGCTCACAGAGGACCAACGCTAGCCGGCAGTAATGTACAAAAGTCTTTATTGAAGTACAGTTTCCATTTTCAAGCCGGAGCGCCCCAGCTCTACGTCTAGGGGTTAGATCGGCGAAGCTCCATCTGAGTCTCCGCCCCCCGTACACCAGTTTAAGATTCTAGCCTTACTCCACCTCTTACGTCTCTCCTTTCTCCTCTGGGTCCTGCTACCCCCCCGGGGTCCCTTCCTTCCTGGATTCTTCTGACGCTGACGCCCTGAGGGGTCCCCGTCTTTTCGGCGGGCTTTGGGACCTGGCTCCCTATCCGGGCTGCCAACTGCGCCGCCCTCCTGTACATTTGAACTTGGCGCGCGCGCCCAGCCTTCAACCTTCCTCTCGACCGTTTCCTCGCTCCCCGATGGAGGCGTGGCCAATCCTGACTCATGTCCTCCCACTGGCAGTGCGCCGCCTGATCCCGATGCCTGGGACTCCTCCCCCCCTACTGCACTCTGGTGTGGACGCTGGTCCTGATTTCCAACTGCTGCTCTCTGAGTCCCCTCTGGCCCCTTCTTCCTGGGGTGTCCCCTCGGCACCCCCTTGCTCTGACCAAGGGAGCCCCTTTCTGTGAATCTTCCGATTCGCTGGAAAGACTCAGAGACCTCGGACCGCTGTCATCGCTAACATTTCCTTCGGACTCCTCCCCCTCGCTCTCTATTTCCTCCCTTTCCTGTGCCTCTGCTCCTGAACCCCTGACACACACGTTTCTGAAACTTGCCTGATTTATGATTTACCTCACCATCTTGCTGGTAGTTGACATAGATGGGGAAGTTGTTTGTTTGTTTGCTATACATTTAGACACCACTTAAAATGCTGAAATCAAATTTTGTATCAAAGTTCCTGAAATCAAGGAGCAGGTTTTTGTCTGTTTGAATACAGTTGGACACCATTTTATATCATGATGGCAAACTGGACCTTTCAAAACTGCACTGTTTTGTTGCTGTTGTTGGTTTCTTGGAATTCCTGAACAACGCTTTGTATGAGTGTCAGCATCAGACCTGGGTTCTTATATATGACAGTGAGTACACATGACCCAGGAATCCAGATATGATCTTCAGTGGCCCTACAGATGTTGCAAACCTAGAGATTTTTACAATATACAGGAACCCAGATACAGTTTTAGCAAGATATGATTTGCCAACATGTTTCACCAATATGACTTTCTCTTCTTTTGATTTCTTCCAGCAGTGACAGAGCTACTGATTGATAGGAATACAAGAAGATGCCCATGTGCATTAACTTCAATGGGTCTACTTTGAGTAGGACTAGTGCCAAATAGCACCTGGTGCTCCATAAGAAAGTACTTTGCCTCAATGTTTTTCAGGAGTCTGAGTGACAAATGTTACCTCTTTAAACCTTGCATCTAGAAACAAAATTCTTCATCTTAGACTGAACTTCAGATAAAACCTGGAGTGTGTCACAAGGCACAATTTCTCCTCTGATAAGGCTCTCCACCTTTCCCACAGCTTTTGATATCTCATCTGCACAGTTAAAAGTTAATCCTTTGCCTTACCCACACCAGCAGACTCATTTTGTTGCAGCTAATAAATATATGTTTGATTCTTTTCATTACCTCTGGAGGTCTTTGAAGAAGGGCAAATCTTCCTCATTGAGCTCTCCTCTTGTAAAATCTTCTTCAAAAGTTTGCAAGGAACAGCCCGAAGGCTTAAATTAATGTAATAACTAGGGTTTTGCCATCAAGTTGCAGTCAAATTTTGTGTAAAGAAACATTTCAGGTGTACAACCTAAGACAAGTTCCAGTTAAAAGAGCCACTTCCTAGACTTTATGAATAATATTTCATGTTCTTTAGTATTCTTTGCTGTGAATATTTTAGCTCCTGCACATATAATCCTGCTTCCTTTGAGATGGTGCATTGGTGTTTTATGCATTCGAAAGTCTGCTGATTTAAGCAGTGATCCTGAGCATGCTCTTGTATAAGTCCCTTTAAAATCTAATAGAATATTCGGATGAACAGAAATTGCCTTTTAAAAAAAGGGGTGAGGAGAAGATAGTTATTGCAGTGCAGATTTTATTGTCTTTGTCCTGTGCAGAAATACTCACCTTTCCAATGATCAAACTGTGGGATTGTCTTACTATGGAATGATAGCTTTCTTTTCGTACTTATTTGTGCAGTGATTTAAGTCCCAAAGGGCATGTTGTTTTGGGAGACATTGCTTATTCTTTGTAGCTTCTTTACAGCTAGCCTTCCACCATTAACACTGGCATAATTCCATGGGGGCAGCGCTCCCCCTTCCACCCACAGAATGTGCAGGCAGGTAAGGGTGCCGTTGGTGGAGGGTCCATTGGTAGTGTCCAGTAGAAGGCTGCAGAAAGGCAGGGCTGTGGAGAAGTCTGTGGCTCTCCTGCTGTATATAGCTTCACTTATGGTGAGAGAGAAGCTTGGAACGTGCTCTGTCTCTTGCATAGGCACTGATTCCTAGGGACTGAGGCAGTTTTGCCCCCCTTAAACTGGCAGCCCCCTCAATATTCAGAGGGCATCATGTGCAGTCCCATCGGGCCCCCACAATTGTCTGGGAAGCTGGTGCCTCTGGTCAGGATCAAGGGAATGAATCTGAGTTTTCAAAAAGTGGTTTGTATTCAACAGCTCTCCCTAAACTGAGAAATGTGGAAATAAATATATCATAAATAGGATCAGAGCACATCCTCTTCCTGTGATTGTAATCTGTTATAACTGTGTTTAATTTTTAAACACAGATTGTGGGTTATAAATATAAGTAATGATACTAATAATAATAATAATAAGAGGAAAAGAGTGAAGAAATGATTTCTGTTTCTATTTTTGCATATCATGTTCAGAATGACTATTCTGTGTAAACAGGCAACTTGTGATGTGTGAAGGCTCATCCATGTTCAGTGACGGCTGTGAGTGTATTTTTAGCTTCTCAGTTATGGAAAGGTGAAATGGATATTTAAGGGGTGAATGATTCAACAGTCTGACAGATTTTATGTATCTCTTGTACTGATACGTAGGAAAACTCTGTGTGTCATGACATTGCATACATTTTCTCATAATGCACACCTTCAGGTGGTTTGTTTTTTCTGTGTTGTTCCTTAACTGGTAGTCACAGTAGCTGTGTTATACATGTGAATGGAGGCTGCACCACTGCCCCTGCCTGTGAGATCACACAGCTTCCTCACCTGCCCCTGTGAAAGTCCACACATTTCAGGGGGAGTCTGGACACCTGCAGAGGAAAGCCGACATGTGTCGCCCTCTATATGCACAGACTTCCATGGGAGCTGAAAACCACAACTTTGCACAAAGATGTCTATGCAGGTCAGCTTTCCCCCATAACAATCTGTTCTCAATGCATGGGCTGGGGTCAACAGAATTAGCCTGCTCCCCCTTTCCACTCATGGACTCCTTCACACATATATACACTCCAGTGACATGTGGTGAAATTTTTTGTAGGGGAACAGTTAGGGTCAGAGGTGCCAGATTGTGAGAGTGATGGGGCGTTGTCGTTGCGAGTGTGAGCACTGTGCCACCTTTCCTAAGCATAGTCCTCCTAGTCTGCATGCCACTGATACACTCCTAGTGTATAAAGCTTAGTCTATGAGTCAGGTGTGTGTGTATGTGGGATTACAATGGCCCTACATTGTCTGTTGTTTGTCTTTTCTTGTGGCTTGATGGTTGTAGAGTTGTTCTGATAAGTAGGCATTCAGGGTTCTAGTCCTGAGCTTTCTAAAAACCTGATGACATCCTTGGCCGGGCTTTACTTTAAACATGATAAGGTGGAAAGATTGCTTTT